TACTTGCACGCAAGTTCTGTTATACATAATAGTGTACGGGTTTTATTGTGGTAGAACACATCAAGTGGTGTCAGGACTGATCAAATGAAAGACCGTTCTACAAGAAAAACCTTAAATAATTACAACAGTAGTATACCCTGTTCGAAAGTCATAAATCTACTGAGAGAAAACAAATCCGAATAACAAACTAAAACCGAGGGAAACACATCAAGTATAAGAGGAAAACAACGGAACAACATAAACACTGAAGTGCAACAAAAACACCAACGTAAAATATAAAATTGAGAATGGAAATGGGGAATATGTCAAAGTGACAACAACCCGACCAAAGAGCAGATAACAGCGGAAAGGCCAGCATGCATTACCTGACTTATATACCGTAAAAGAATTTAAGTTTCTGCAAAGATTTGCAGAATTCGCATCCTATTTACCGACCACACTTAAGTGGGATATTCTTTTTCTGATGCGTTCAAGTTTTATTTTATAATGTGAAATAAACTCACTAATTAATCTTGATATACTCTTAAGAAATCATTATACAGACACACATAATTTTTTCTGTAACTGCATGAAGCAAGACTCTTGTGAATTGTTACTATCCGATAACGGTGTATGAAACATAAGAGTCACTTTGTAGGTAATTCATTGTGCTATTTTGGTTTATGATAGGGGGTGCTATGTTGGTTTTTCCTCTTTGTAATGACTTTTTTATTGCGGAAAAGCAGATTATATTTTCAATAATTTTTTACAACAGAATAATTTTCTTTTCAATGGCAATACAATGTTTTGAAACAGAAAATCAGGATTTTATTTCTTCTCCCCCGACCCCATTGCGAGGTATGTAGCTGTTATTCTATAGAATATAAGAATACTCGATCAGTTCATCATTTGATAGAGTAAAATGTATATATAGGCGTAAACAGTTAAGAACTGACACGGAAGAGAGCACGAAATCGTGATACATGCACATGTAACACGAAAACGAATATCAAAGCATGTAGGTCAAAGTATGATTTCCAATCCAGTGTAAATAAAGGCAACAGTAGTATACCGCTGTTCAAAAGTCATAAATCGATTGAGAGAAAACAAATCCGGGTTACAAACTAAAACCGAGGGAAACACATCAACTATAAAAGGAATTTTGAATCAATGAGATTTTCAAAATTCTTCACATGACTTAAACAATTATAAAAATTGTTTTACATTTTATTTCAATGTAATTATTGTTTATAAAATCACAAAACAATAAATAAACGTATTTTGATTTATATCGTTTTCTTCATTGAAATATTAAAGTTAAAATATTTTTCGGAGTGACCTTTAAAAAAAAAAACTTATATAGAAAACTACTGAGCCATTTACATTGAAACTTAAGGTATACAAGGTTTCAATGTCTAAAGGTGTTTATTACCCACCACACTGTAATTGAGTGTTATTTGTCATGTTTACATGGATCTTAAAGTTTTAGAATTTGTATAATAAAGTCTATATATTTCTCACTATCATTTAAAAAATATTATACTAGTAATTAATTCAATTTTTTCTAGTTTCAAGTCTGCATTTTGGGGGGAATTGTGAACGCAATCAATAAAAATTTCAAACGTGATTATCGGTTAAAAACAAGCAAAGAATAAAGTAAGAAAGAATGAAATAAGCTTGCCATATCAAATCTCTGTTTATAAGGTAGATGGTACCGAAAGGGGGAGGGATGAATGAAATATTGAAAAAGAAACCTACACAGATGGATTATTAAATAAATGTTTAACTTAATTTAAAAGTGTTTATTAAATGATTATTTGAAGAAAAATTGTAAGCCTAGTATCTAGGACGAGTGTATTGTTTAAGAAAGTTTATCTAGTGTTTATTGTTTCGGCTTGTTTTCCTTCAATTTAATAATAAGAAAAATAAAATATTTCAAGAATTTATACACTTTATTTGGTTTCATGTGCCTTATTAAACTTAAATGAATGATGGATCATATGTGTATTACGAACAGAGGTCAATGGAAAACTACTCAACCGTTATCATCTAAAAAGTTAAAGGTATAAATATGTAATATTCCATCAGGTTGTTTACGCTACCTACATATCCCATTATCTAGGGTAGCGTTTTAGATATTCTGCATAGCGGGAAACATATATTGGTCATGATTTTGAAATGATAAATTTAAGTCATATTTTCATGTTGTGTCATAATTGCCTCATTTAAGTCTGGAAAAGAATATAACTAGCTTTATAGTTATGTTTTCTTCATACTTTATTTCTGTATACATTCGTTTCTAGTGACGCTGCCTTAATTTTGCAGCCGTTTCTAATCTTGATGTTCATTTTTATATATCCCAAAAGGTTCATTTAGTAACTATTCTAATAGTAAGACAATATGTCACTAAACTAAGAGTGATGTTCAAAACATCGTTTAGGACTATATGCTGAAAGCATTTACAATAAAATTGAGAATGGAAACGGGGAATGTGTCAAAGAGACAACAATTCGACCAAAGAGCAGAAAAACAGCCCAACGCCACAAATTGGTCTTCAACACAGCGAGAAAATCCCGCACAATGTTGCGGGCTTTACCTGGCCCCTAAACAAAAATGTCTACTAGTTCCGCGAAAATGGACTTCACACTAAACTCTGAAACATATAAATGAACCAAAATTAAAAAAAAAAACCAAGACGTACAAAGTCAAGAGGTTCCTGACTTGGGACAGGCGCAACAATGCGGCGGGGTGAAATATGTTTGTGAGATCTCAACTCTCCCCACTTTACCTCTTGTCAATATAGAATAAACTAGCATACAGCAAGACGCACAGTAAAACTCAGTTTAAATAAGTCAGATATGTTAGAATACGTAACAGAAGAAACTGAGCAAAATGACAATGATCAATATAAATTAACAAAGGACTATTAGCAGTTACTGACATACCAGCTTCAGACCTCACTTAATCTGATTGAAAAATTATGCCTTCATCATATGTAAATCAAGCGCAATCCCTCTTTTTAGGTGTTTCGTATCATACCATCATACAAGAACAAAACCCGTATCATGAAAAGATAGTTATACATGTTATACTTTAACAATTCAAAAACAATGTTAAGGTTTCAGAGAGAAGACACAAACATTAAAAAAAAAAACTGGATATGATCGTTGGAAAAAAGAAACTAACCGTCTGTTTACTCAGCGACCCATTGACAAAATTGTGAAATATTTTTATTTTATTCAACAACAAAAAACACACTTTCTGTCTGAAGTATTCTTCCGTATTGGTGTGGTTAACTTCATTTTGACCATGAATATATTATCCCGAACAAGTCAAGTATAAAACTACGATATTCTCTATTCTCGCCATTTTGAATGTTTAAAGGACAAAACACTTCACCTGTGGAAATTAAGATCACATGATCAATAGAGAGAAAATTAGTACAAAACACTTCATCTGTGGAAATTAAGATCACGTGATCGATAAAGAGAATATTAGTAATGTCACTAACTCAATAAATACAAATATTAATTACCAATTATAGACTTAAATTGTCTCTATTTGTTTGAAGTGTGTTATAAAGTATTCAAAAAAAAAAGAAAGATTTTTTTAACCATATACCAAAACGTACATTAAATGCTAAAAAAAATAAAATCTAGTCCCAAGACATATATTTTTCGTAAATACCCCTCCATAACATGATATATCTGTTTAATTACATCGAATAGATTTTGATTGAAACTCTCTGTACAGGTGAAGGGAAATCTTGTTTTTTACTAGTAAGCTGTAATCAATAAAAAATGTTTATGCATAATTTTGAGGATAAGTATAGCCTATCATAGTACCACGGGAATTATACATGTACTTATACGCGTTAGTGATGTCTATTTGTAACGTCAGTGTCATTCCATCATTCTATCGTTCATTTGTATAGAGATTTTTTTCAACTTTATATACACAACACATTCTTCAATATACGATCAAAAGATTGGTACCGTGTTGTCTGGCATTTTGTTTACAGTTTTCGGATCACCTTCATCAATCAATATTACTTAATCATGTTGCCTTAATAATCGGGATAAGGTGAGAAAGGTTCCGAATAATTTTGGCGGTAAGTGGCCCGCGATGGTAAAACAAAGGAATATCCAAGATGGCAAATACCACGGCAAAGAGAGGAATTTGATGCATATTCACCGGCAGTTGTGAAAACAGGAACATTCGT